CCCAAGGCCAGGCTGGTCGCAGATGCGGGCGAGCCGTACCTGCCACGCTGGTCGGGGGGGCCCTGCAGAGCGGTGAAGCCCAGCTTCTTTCCAGCAAGCAGGTCGAGCGGCCCAAAGAAGAAATAGGGCGAGCCACGGGGCAGAGGCCCAAGGCCAGGGCGCACAGGGTCCGCCGGGGCAGCCCCGCCAAGCAGGGAAGGAGCCCAGTCAGGCTCCGGAGGCATTTCATGGCGCCCGAGCAAGGAGGAGGAGGCAGCAGCCAGATTACAGCCCCTCATGCCGCAAGGAGACTGTTCTGCGGGCGCCGCGCGACCCGACGCTGTCCTCAAACAGGGGTCGCAGCATACTGAGCATGCGCAGGACGCGCCAAATCCGTGCGCTGTCCTCTGCGCCTGCGTAACGCTCCGTGCGTCTGCGTGTTGTTCTTCAACATGCTGCTCCCAGCGCATGCTTGGAGGTGCTTGTGGGCGTGCGTCGTGCGTCCCTTGGAGGCTGCTGGGAGTTCGTCCTTGAAGTTTGTTTTGGTACTTGTGAAGTGTAGAGGGTCGGGCTGGGGGTTGGGTTGGCCAGGTGAGAATGTTTCTTCACTTAACTTCTAGTTAAAATGCACGACCCAGGTTTTTCAGATCTTCAATGGTGGCGAACCTGTGGCACGCGTGTTGCAGCAGGAGGTTTGTATTATTGAAAACACTGAGAGGTTCGGCATCGTTACGGGATCACACCAGCTTGAAAAATGTCGATTTTTATTATCTAGTAATTATTTAGTGTGAAAAAATAGTATGTGGATCATGCTTTACAGTTTCAAGAGTATTTCGTGAATATAATGAAATCTGCAGTTTGGAAATGTGGAAGTTACGACTCAGATGTCTTTGGTATATTTCATGTGACTAGAAAGTAACTGTCATAAGAAATGATATATTTTCTATCCCCGGTACCAAAAAAGAAAAAAAAAAAGAAAGAAGGAAAGAAAGAAAAAGAAATGATACATTAAACTTTTCCTAGTGAAGAATGGAAAACAAACTCATGACTTTTAGTCAATATTTAATACGTTTTAAGTATCAATTTCAAGTTAACATTTTATGTGCCGTTGAGGAAAAAAAAGGCTGATAAGCTATACTTGTAAATATAGTTGTTGATAAAGGGAAAATAGACTTGGTGTTTTATGTATTGGAGGTCGAATTGAGAAGATTTGTAGGTGAGATGTGACAGGCATAGAAGGTGACTTCAAAAGTTTCAGCCTGGACACTTGGGCAATGTTGGTGCTGTTTACCAAGATAAGGAATTTTGGAGAGGTGCAATTTTGGGTTGAAGGCAGGTTATGGAATGCTATTTGGTTGTGGGCATTTTAAGTTTGAAAGAGCAACTAAACAGACAACTAAATATAGATGTCAAATAAGGAGAGTAGAATTTTGGGGGGATTTTGGAGATATATATAT